GAAGTTTACGTGACTGAGCTGGGAAAAAGACAAGGGACGTACAGGGAAATGTTTGAGGCATGAAATAGAGAGGAATGGACGGTAGCGGTACCGGGGAGTAGGAAGTAGTTTGAAAAGGCGGGCAAGGGATATCGGTAGGATAGACAAGACTAGGGAAGACATCTTTGAGCCACCTTTGGCAGAGTAGGAAGGAACGATTGGCCACCGGTGNGACGACGAAGACGACGAGTTCAAATGTGATTGCGGCTTCGAATGCGAAGACCGTGTTCATGTAGTCGCGGAATGTCAGTGGTACAAGAAGGAGAGAGAAGTTTACGTGACTGAGCTGGGAAAAATACAAGGGACGTACAGGGAAATGTTTGAGGCATGAAATAGAGAGGAATGGACGGTAGCGGTACCGGGGAGTAGGAAGTAGTTTGAAAAGGCGGGCAAGGGATATCGGTAGGATAGACAAGACTAGGGAAGACATCTTTGAGCCACCTTTGGCAGAGTAGGAAGGAACGATTGGCCACCGGTGATCGGTCCTGTGGGAACAATGCTCCGTCCTCTCGAGGACGCGTGGTCAATGGTCNTTTGGTCGCTTGGCAACGACGTTGTAAAAAAAGCCAATTCACTTCTTGAACTTGGCAACCAGGTTGCCGTGCTTTTGTTGACCTCTGTTTTTTTTGCGGTAACCATAATGGTGGTCAAGTAGATCGTGTTGTGCGGGTTCGAGAACTCTCACTCCGCGCAAGGGGGATGATCGCACCACGTTGTGTTAAAATGGTCAAGCAACCTCGAGGCAGTTACACAGTGCTTACAACTGTCTCTGGAAGTGAAAGCACCAGACAATAATTTAAGTCGTACGCAGCTGTCATCCGTACGCAAGGAAGTAAGCACAAGATGCCGAACACCCTTAGCAGTATGCAGCGCACCCTTGATGCGACTCGCCGAATACCTCACGGCGCTTTGCGCTGGAGAGCCTGGTCCGGTGAGAATCCGGCGTGCTCCGTCCCGGCTTTGTAGGGATGCGAGGTCAATG